GCAGAACAACCTTGAATGATGTGTTATTATGTGGAATGCAGAACCATCATTGTATCGTTGCCCCAAACTCCATTCCCGAAAGCAACCGACATGGTGGAATGATGCTTGCTTCGCTGCCCTTCTTGACCGCAATGCTGCATGGCGTGCGAAAAATCGTGACCTATTGGAGGAAGCAAACGCAGCTTTTCATGGGGCCCGCAACCGCTTTCATCGCACAGTGCGTCATGCCAAAGAATTATATTGGTCCCACTGGTTAAGCAGGGTGGAGCGTGTGAAGAAAATCAATTTCCGGGTAGCAGCGCGCGTGGTGCGCCGCCGTTTTCGTCACAACACTTGTAGGGTGGCGCCCAATCTTGCTCCCGGGTCATTCCCAATCGTCACTGAGCAACAGGAGTGTCTGCAGCAATGGCAGCGTCATTTTCAAAACGCAGCAGCCATGGATACGGAAGATTTTTGCCCTTTGCACTTTGCCCGTGCACGCCGTCGCGCACAGCGCGTGCGCGCAGAGCGAGTGTCCCGCCAAAACCTCGCCCCCGGTCTTTATGCGACCCCTTTTACAAGACACGAATTGCGCGCTGCACTTCACAGTTGTGAGTTTGGTAAAGCACCGGGATGTGACAACATCCCTTACGAAGCACTGTCTGTAGACGAGGAATTTTGGCAAGGTGCGATTTTGGAATTCCTGGAATTATGCCGTTTGAGTGGCTGCGTGCCTTCACTGTGGAAGCATGGCGTCGTCGTTCCCCTTGCAAAAGGTGTCTGTTCCAGTGATCACAATGATTATCGCCCCATCACTTTGACTCCATGCTTTGCAACAGTATTGGAAAGGCTGATCATAAACCGGGTTCGTCCCTTGATTGACCCACGATTGGATGAGTGCCAGGCGGGGTTCCGTTACGGTTCTGATGTGCAAGTTTATGCTCTAGTCGAAACTCTCCGTCTACGCCAAAGTTCGCGCACATATTGTGTGTTTTTAGACATTCGAAAGGCATTTGACGTTGCTTGGCGAGACGGTGTCATGCTGCGCTTGCACAGGGCTGGAATCTCTAATGACCTATGGCATCTAGTTGATGACTTGGTGTCGGATCGCTCAGCAGCCGTACGCCTTGATTCGCAATTTTCGCCAACGTGGGATGTAGAAGATGGCATAGGACAAGGAGCTGTTCTCAGTGGTTTCCTGTTTAATATTTTGATAAATGGTCTTGCTGCCGCGATCAAGCGTGCATGTGTTGGAGCCACCTGTGGTTTGCAGGACGGCCTGCAAGTGAAAGTTTTGCTGTATGCTGATGATATTGTCATCCTCAGTGACAACCCTGCCGACCTGCAGCGTGCACTTCACGCAGCTCATTCTTGGGCTATGTCTTGGCGATTCCATCGCGGTGTTGGGCCATCAAAATCTGCAGTCATGATTTTTGGTCGCGGCCGCGGCCGTGCTCGTGTACCAGCCTTTTTTCTCAGTGGTCACTTGTTCCCCCGGGTAAAAACTTACACCTATTTAGGGGTGGTCCTTCAGGAGAATCTGTCGTGGAAAAATCACATTGAGCATTTGCTTGACCGTGGGGAGTGCAAGATGGCCGCGTGCCTTTTTTGGACAGGGTCCGCGGAGCTCCCACTCACCTTTGTGGAACGCATATATCAAGCTTATGTGCATCCATCCATCAATTTTGGGCTGGAATTTGTGCCACAAGGCCCGCAACTTGCGCGCTACCAGACCCGCATTTACAAATGGGGTCGACGCATACTTGGTTGGCCAGCGGGTTCACCTAGTGTAGTGGTTCAGGGTCAGCTTGGGTGGCATGATGCTAATACCACTCGGCTCCTCCAAGCTGCTGGGTTGTGGGCCCGACTTGTCAGTTTGCCACACGGGTGCTTCGCAGGGCGGGTCGCGCATCTTGCGTTTCAAAATCCGTCTTCGTGGGTATCATCCCTTGCGCAGGAGTTGAGGTTTGCAGGTGCCCCGCAGCCTATGGAATGGGGTATTCATGCCGGCTGTTCGCAAGGACTTGTCAAACAATGGCTGAACCATGTACGACTTATTCTGCTAGACCGGTGCCATGCAGATTACGTCTCCAATGTGCAGCGCTCTGACAGTTTGCAGTCCTACTTGCGGTGGCAGCCCTTGCCGCATTTGCATACCATTGCGTACGGTCGCCACATTCTGCCTCACCATGTCAGGCTGTGGGGTTTAGCCCGATGTGGTCATCACAACTTCGCTGACGGCAGATCTGCCCGTCACTGCGGTGTTTGTGTTGACGAGCCTTGTCGCTTTTGTGCATCCGCCGCGGATTCCTTGGACCATGCCCTGTTGGAGTGCCCTGCGCACAATCAAGCCCGAAGACGCTGGTATCGGCAAACTCGCTCGAGAAGCGCCATGTCAGCCGACATATTGTTCAGCACTTCCCCGGACGGGAACACAGCCCGAAACATTGTGCAAAACATTTCTTGTGTGGGCCATGTGTGCCATGCAGCTGCCGCGTGTGAAGCGGCATTCTGAGTGGCTTTGACGTAGGGCCGGGTACTGAAATTGTGTCTAAATGTTGATGTCGTTGCTGTTTTGTTTCAATTTTTTCTGAGTGAACGTGATGTGATCATTGTTGCTTGCTGGAATGTGTAGAGCCATGTTTGTTTCACATGTTCCTGACCATGACCCATGGTCGTTCAGAGACTCGCCTCTCTCTCTTATCAGTTTTTGAGTTTTGTCAGCCCTGACTTCTGGAGCCGTATTTCGAATTGAGTTTAAACCTGTACAGACTGGCATAGACTATGCTTCTGGAGGAAAAGGGACGGATGGATCAGGTGGAAGGACAGACATGTAGAGCATTAATCTAGTGCCGCGAGCACAGACTTGCAAAGAAACTTGTGTTGGAAAGTAAGGTGGTCGCAACTTGGCGAGCTGTGAGTTGTTGGCTTTGCACGTGATTCAGGCCGAGTCGTTCAATTCAGTTCCGTCCACAACGACCTTGCGCTCAGGCACCAAAGGTCTGTCAGCTTTGCAGTATTGATAAAATGCCAGAATCATGATAGCTTCAACGTGCTGAGTCCAGATAGTTTCAACTCCCGTTTCAACTCCTGTTTCAATTTGCTGGCATTGCCCTGTGATGGTGCAGAGGGAGGTGGCAGCGGAGGAAGTAGTAAGCAAGTAAGTTATGGCAAGAGATTTTTGCAAGCGCCTGCCAGTCTTGAAGAAGCGCACAATTTCATCGTCTCTGGCCGGGCGGGCGCAGGCTCTAGCAAAAGTAGCATCGAAGCCTCTTCCCTTCGTAAAATGCCAGCACATGAGGAGACCTCCAGTCCATGTTTGCAGCGATGTCTGCACAGCCTGGTGGCCGCCCCAGCCTTCTAAGACTGCCGCCATTCAGCGACCTTCTTCCGCCTAGGTGGCGTGTATGGAGTGGTTTCAGCAGCTGAAGGACCCAAAGCCTAATGGATGCTGCGACATCGTGAGAACCTATCACGACTGCTTGCAGGAGCCTAGCAGGAACTATTGCTTTGCCAAAATGGATATTTGGCTTGATTTTCGATCTTCCGGTGTGGTGCCTGTATTGCTTTGGGCTTTTGCATGGTGAGGTTGATGGAAACAAATTTTCCACGCTGTGCCTGTTGGTGATCTTGGCAAATGCGACGCAGCTGCGTGTATGGTGGAGAAAAGGGTGTGAATTCCAAGTTTCTTCGCCTAGACATACTTCTCCCAGAGGCATTCCTGATCATCGTCGTGTCTGATTACGAGCTGGATAACTTGGGACAACCGATTCCTGAAGACTGGGCGGCCTCCCCGGTTTGGATGTTGTTGAAGAGGCCTAGAAGCCAAGAAAATCAGATGTGGGACCTACGAAGGAACTGCTCGAGCTGGGACTGACGATTTTTTACGTGATGCACTCAACACGAGGAGAGGAACCGCAACATGGCTACGGTGTTGCACACGAAGCCACGTCTTGGGCTTGGGGCCAAGGCGCTTGAACTACTGCTCAAGATTCTCGTGCATCGGATGTGCTCCTGCCAGCATTTAGCGGTTTTCTGCTCTTTGCACTTGCTCTTTCACTTTCATTGCCTTCTTAGCATTGCAAATTTTGGAAGTCTCAAGACTTACATCTCAGATGCGTGAGTTTCTCATGATGCTGTCTAGCCAGGGAGCCAAAACACCGCACTGGTAAATTTGACGACTTGCAGGTATTTCTTTGTCAACAGTGAATGGCGCTTCTGGGCAAGAGTGAGCAGCAAGTCTTCTTTGCCATGTGGAGGTAGTACTTCATCTTGAGTTTGGCTTTGCATGTGATAATATTGCTTGCTAGGTTGGAACATCTTTGACTTCTCGCTTGTAATCTTTTCCGTCATCGAGATTGCGGTTTCTTCAGTGCTCGAGTCCAATGTCGACGACAGTGACACAAGCTTGAACCTAGGTGTCTTGATTGCAGCAGGAACTGAAAGGCAGAATTCTCAATTGTGAGCTATGGTGGTTCAGACAACTTTTGGAAGTTCAAAGCTCCAAAGTGACTGGTTTGAAGGCTTGAGGCGAAGTTGCTGGCTTAAGCACTTCGGGCACTAGCTTCAGGTAAGATGACTGGCTCATTGTTCAGAACGTAGCTTTGCCCAGAACCTCTTGCAAAGCCACGGAACCAGCGGCGACAGAGCTTCGGACGAAGCACAAGCTTCAGGTTCAGGTAAACCAGAAAAGTCATTAGCTTCAGAGCTCTCAGAAGCTTCTCAGAAAGCACTCCTGCGCAAGCTGTTTATGAAAGGGATTGCAGCCATGCATTTCAGCACGCTCAGGATTCCTGCGGCTGCTCAGGCTGACCAAGCTTGCTAAGGCTTCACAGCTACGCTTACGATTGCCATGCGCGCACGTGGACAGAGGGCATGTCACGACAAATTTGCCGCAGGTACTAAGGGTGTTTCGGACCTTGAAATTCTTCACCGAACTGTGGCTTGTTCGCAGAAGGGCAAGCCCAAGCTGCGCCAAGCTCTGCCTTCGGTCTGATGGCATCGGGGAGCTGAGGCGTCTAATGCTTGATTGCGTCCTGGGCTGCCTGACGACGAGTTGGCTTTACTTGAACTGTTAAGTAGAAGATCTTTCACGAGCCACCTTTGCGTCGTGTTGCGTGTTCAGGTTCCTTCTTGCAGATCTTCTGGTGCTTGGCACGATGCTGAGTTGATTCACACATCCTCCTTGAAGCGAGGCCTGACGCAGCACCAATCCTCCTGAATTCAAGGCGATGATTGTCTTCGTCCTGTACGTGTTCTCGCTCCTAATCGTACAGGGTATTGTGGACCTGCGCATATCTGCATCGGGCTGAGCAGTTCACGCGAGATCTCTTGCCATCTCTTACTGTCTTTCGTGCGAGGCAGGGGAGACTCTGAAGGATGAGGATGTGATCAAGCTTGAGTACTACTACCCATCCGTAGGACGGACATCTCAAGAAAGTGTGGTTTCAGATAAATTTTGAGAACGTAACAATACTGGCATTCATGCTCAAATCTGCTCTTTTTGGAGCCACGATGGCTTGCGCTGATGATGCTTGTGGCGCGCTGCTTGTTCAACATGTGGTGGCTGCAACATGCCGCAACAGATTGTTCCAATTATCTAACAGGAAGGGCACGACGATGCTGGACTGCTGAAGCCCCCGCCCAAGCCCGCACCACTGAACACGACTTTACTGTCATCGCTTGCTCACGTCGTGTAGCCTCGCTTCTGACATGCATACTTTGAGCCTGCTTGCTACTTGCGGCGCAGCGTCATGCTTGCACGCGCAATATCTTTACCACTATTTTAGCTGGGCCGATCTGCTCGGGCGCTGTGTCTGGCCGTCAGCGCTGGCCTTCTCTCCGGGCAAACATCCTTGCCGATTCGCTTTACCAGCCCCCTGTGACACCATGCTGGCCAGCAGGCCTTGCTACATGTCACATCACTCCTTCTATCCTGCCATGGGCACCTGCCTTTGCAAGAAGTCTTGCATGACAGAAGGCCCCGCGGAAGAATAGTACGCTGACAAATTAGGTCCTACGCTGACAATCACGTCCTGCGTGTGTGCTGGTGGTCATGCCCAGTATAAATTAATCAAAGCTTCAGGCATGCGGCATGATGTTTTAGAGTCTGGATCATACACCCCCCCCACCTACCAGAGAAGCATATTTGCTGGTTCCTGGTCTTGACGAAGGTGTCTGAAGGCATAGATCTGCCATGAACAACTCACCCTGGTGACGAAGAGATCTGTACTCACCCCCAGCGTAGACACCTGTAAACTCTTGTCGCGTTTGCACGCAGCAGAGCCAACCGCAGCGCTCCATGAGTGCCTGGCGCCGCAAGAGTCAGACGGACGTTGGTTCATAGGTGCAGAGCGCGTGGCAAAAGCAGGTTGTCACCACAACGCACACGACTCCGTTCGGACCACCTTGGCAGCTTTACAGCAGCTGTCCTCAGCCTTGCCAGGACAAACGCTGCTTACCTTGTTTCAGTCCACTACAGCGGGGCTTGACTGGCGCGATGTCACCTGGCTTGCAGTGAACATGTGCGGGTTTTCCTCTGCTTGAGCGATGGCATGAGGCCTTTGAGGCCTTAGAGAAAGGTTGTGACCTCAGCTGACTGGTTTGCTGGCCAAAGAGGTTAAGAAAGGGAGTGTTTCGATTGAGTTCGTTTTGTGCGAACAAGCTTTCAAGGCGGGCCATTCTTGTCAGTGGTATTCCTGGCGGGGGCCTCAAGGAACACATGGCCAGCAGGTCCACTGCAGCGATGCCAGTGAATTGAAAACTGGTGTGCTGCAGCGTGTGAGGTCTACATAAGCATTTTCACCATCTCAATCTGGAACATCGTGACGAGCACGTTTGTGGAGAAGGCACAAGAAGCGGGTCTCTTCAGGATTTCTTTGTCATTGACAGCGAGGCATAACTTGACGGTCCAGAGTTGATCACTACTTCTTTGGGCCATGAAGGGAGGGCATTGTTCTAGCGGAGGCTATGAAGTTGGCAAAGCCAGATCTTGACTCAATGCTTCTCGAGTGTGGGGCTTAGAAGCTGGGCAAATGGGGGCCACTGACGAAAGCTTGCCAGCAAAAATTCGAGGCAGAGCATGCGCGACTTGAAAGACACGGAGGAGCTCGAGAACCTGTTTAGGCCTTATGCCACGCAGAATGCTGTGGGGCACCCGGAATTCTGGAAAGTCGATCGTTTGCTTCCAGCAAGTCGTCAGCACCGAGGATGGCGAAGAAGAAATTTCGCTCTCCGACTTACAGGCTTTGGGGTTTGAGATGTAGGGGGTTGGGTGATACCGTAATTGGGATCTTCAAGAGGCCAAGTGTGAATATCTCCTAATGTACA